TAACTGCAAAGACTCCCTTTTTGTGCTTCGCACACGGGAGTAAAAAATCCGTTCTCAAAAATCCAAATAATCAGAACCTCACCGAAATTCATTTTCTATTCTTACCCACAAGCCACATCCAGATTATTCATCAAAACGAGTGGTCTGGGGTATACTAGTACTCTGACCCATGCTGAGGACTTCCTGTTTGTAATGCTATATGATAAATCGGATTAACTATCACGTGAAACCAAATGAAAATCAGTCTAACATAACGTACTTATACCCAATTGATTCTGGAAAAAAATGACAATTGCAATAATACTGGTAATCGACGAGCAGGTCCGTTCGGTTGACAAAATAGACGATACAACAATACTGATTGGACCTACATGAATGCTACTCTATTTCACATAACCAAATGTTGTTGTTTTTTTGCTGTCGTACATTATCTTCGGTAATAACTCCGAAAGTGAAGTCTTATATCTTCAGCAGAACGTAGCCGTTAAAACTTGCAAAACGAGTCTGTTTCGATCGATCATCGCTTAAGCAGCATACAATTTATTTATTTTTTTACTCGTAAAAATACGAAAAGTGTCAATATTTAAAACTGCATGTCACACGCAACGTAATATTACCGTAATTGGTATAGTACAGGTGTGATGGTTCAAATACCAAAATGGCAACAGTAACAAAAAGACTTCCCTGGTAGCGATGATAAAATATGAACACGAAGCCAACAGATGAGGTTTCAACTGGTACTGGTATTATTATACTCTGCAAATATCAAGTACAATAACGCGATAAAACTCCACTACTCCAATAACTAGATACTTAAACTCCAATACAATTCAACGAGATCTCCGATCTGATCTCAGTGCTGAACAACTCCCCTATATATACCCACACAGTCTATAAATAGACCATTACATCGGCATACATAATGAGTCTGGAACTTACTACAAATTTTTAGAATGTTCCATTACCTTCTATTGCTTTCTACAGTGTCCTATTACCTATTCAACCATAGATCTTGGCCGATCGTATTTTAACAAAGGACCTGAATGTACAGTACTAATTTCACCCAACCTCCTGCTCGCTTCTGCTTTTCGATCACTATTTTTACTCGCTTTTGCAACTGCATGTTGAATAATTTCCGCTTAATTTTTCGAGCGCGCGAACCCAGAAATATCGCCTGTCTGCATGCTCGCTTTTTAAATGCATAACCGTGGCATCAATATGTTCCTGGTGTCTCGGGGTGTCTCAGCTCTCTGCCCTAAGGAGTTAGCATTGCCTGTATCACGTAATTGTCTTGATAATCATATTGTTGAAACGAGATAGCAGTCCTCGATTCAAACGGAACACAGTTACGCTCTATCAGCTTGTTGTGGAAACGTTCACATAACAAGAGGTCATAGTTCAAGTTACGTTCGCGAACGAAACAAAGTATGATGGTTTGGAAGTGTCGTTCGAAATTAAATAATGGTTAATACTCATTGAATCCTCAAACTTTAGCACTAAAACAACCATTTCGACAACTCATGTGCCAGTGTTCAGTGTTTGAACAAGCGGTCAGTGTTTTTAATAAGTGAGTGAAAGAAAAAAAAAGGGATAAAAACATGGTCGTTTTTACGGTCGGAAATTAAGCAATATGCTGTTAAAATGTTAGAAATATTGGGCGAAATCAGTATTGATGCTCATTTATAGCTTGACATGCGTCACAAATGGGTAC